TAAACATACATCAAACAGATGCCTTGACGCACGTTCCCATTACAGGAATTAGGATGTTAAAATTGCTAGCAAAGTTAACATTTTTGTAAATCATCGATTTTATTTTCCTAAACTAAATGCACGGCATACACATATGTCCTATTTAACAAATACGTGTCACATTTTAAATGTTACTTTTAGATCAAGAATACTTTTCAGGCAATTTTCTTGATAACTATGCACTGACAAGGCTCACCAAATGCTAGTCATTTGTTTGCGCAACCAGTGCATCTGTCTTTTTTAAGGTTATTATTCATCCAGTGTTCCCGCAAGATCGAGCTGTTGGGAAATGCTCGCGGCTGAACAGACATCAAATTCATGGGACAAAAAAAGCCAACCTGTTAACAACAAAAGAGGATAAGCTTGTTGATAAACTTCACGGGTGATGACCGAGAACTGGCAAAAGTGCACTCGGTATCGAAGGTGGTCGATTCTGCAACTCACTGAATGCATTCTCCAAGCAGTGTCTCAAATCCATATATGAGACAACAAGAACGTTCTCACCATCTCGCGAAACAAGCTGAATCTTTTCGTTCACACCAGCGTCTAGCTAAAATTACTGATTTTTCACAACAAAGACCGCAAGCATTGGTCCAGAACACGTAGCGCAAGAGAGAAGGGCCCCCGCGTACTCGCGTTCGACATCTGGATGCACGCCATTTCATCGAAGCTCCACAGTGAAAGTGGCAAGCCGTTTCGGCAATTTCAGGGACGTGCAAGGCCTGAGAAAGCAGTTTGCCTTATCTTCCTTTTGTTATGCTCGTTTTTAATTCATGCTTTTTCTAGTGACAGAACTGCTCCTCAACTTCTCGCATCATCACCACAACAGCTGTAATGAAAAGTACAAAAATGGTGCAAGTATAAGACTGGAGGTGTGACTCCATCGTGGGACGATAAATCTTTCTAAGGATCGTTCATTTGTCCAGGCGGTAAACAAGTACCGGCATATGTCCGACTTCAACCAATTACCAGCGTGCTTGCAAGCAACCCTCAGAAGAAGCAGCCTTACCGGAGGCTGTTGCTGCTGGCACAAAATATCATTCGAGCTACTTCCGAGCGCCCCCACCTTTTACAGAAAACGAATAGAAAGGGGCCTTGGCTTCTGACTTTTGACAACTCCATGGGCTGAATATCCCTGGCTCAACTCACTTAATCTACTAAT